CCCTGGAATCCCACGGCTCTCTACGGGACGTAGCTCACAGTGACAGGCCTGAAGGCGTCTGCCCCTAATTGTTAGCGAGAGTGAAAGAGATGTGAGCAGGGAGTGAAAGACTCAGGGCTACAGACCCACTGCTGGCAGGAGGAAACCAGCTCCGTTAAGGCAGAGCCTTACGGTTCAGCAACACCCCCTGTCCTGAGACACCGGGTCCTCCGTCCTGCGCAGAGGAGCAGCGAGAGCTGGATCGGGGCGATCAAGTAGGGAGGTGCAGCTTCATGCATAGGCAGCAAAGGAATGTTTCAGCTGTGGAGGTGTGTCCTTCTGTGAGGTCGTCTTCAGGTTCAACACAATGATCCTCCACCTGTCCTCTCTATCAGGACTATATGCACGTCTCCACTGGCTTGTCCAGGGCTCCCTTCACACAAACGCAGCCCGCAGAGACGGACAGCCCCAAGCACAAAGAGTGTGAGGGATGGTGGAGGGCAGATGTCAGTTCCACACTGAGGGGCTGCTGTTGATGAGTCTCCCTGCTCTGATCTCAGAGGAAACTGCGTTCCTTTCTCAAACCGGCTGTCCAGTCGTTCGCACGGTACAGCGGAAGTTTATTCTGTGTGCAAAAGCACATTCGGAAAAAGATCGCGTTTCGGTTCAGGTGAGAAATTCTGCATGTTTGGTCGGAGCTGGACAGAACCAGCACGTGCAGTCCTTTCCTGCACAGCTACCTTCATCACTACCTCACACGAAGGCTGTCCTGCTGGTAGAATAGGGTGACATTTCAGAACACATAGAGAGGCCCGACATGATGTTCAGCTGGGGTTCCTAATACTCTGACCCCTGAGTATTCACTTCCTGTGCAGACCTGCATCCACCTGCAGTACAAACACTTGTCCAGGGATTTGTGACTTCCTGGGAGTATCCTCTTTGTTCTGAAGTCCTTCTGTGTGTGTTTTAAATGACCTCTTTCCACAAGAGCGACGTTGATCTGGAACAAGCTTTCCAGTCTTGCTGGGAATGCTGGGTCACTTGGAACACTCCTGTGGGCTCTGGGATCATGGAAAATGATCATGATAAGCTTGAATTTGTATGATGTTCTTCATCCTAAGGGGGGTGATGTATGTAGAGGGGGCAGCCATCTCTTCCACCACCGAAGTACAGGACCCATGTGGGCGACGCGTGGCGCCGTTCAACACCAGCAGCCCCAGGACACAGCACAGCCGGTGGAGGTGTGTGACACAGCACTTCACTGACTGAATTAAGGAGCAAATTTGTTGGGCTTCTTCCATCTGACCTCCACGTGGAATTTAACCTGGACACTGGAGTTAACACCCCTACTCAGCCAGCAACGAGATCACCCTGCAACTCACATCTGGCAGCCCCCTGAAGCTCAGCAGCTGTGAGTCTGTCCAGTATGTGGATGGGAGACCTGCTGGAGAACGTTGCTGCTGGGAGAGGTGTTAGTGAGACCAGTAGGGGGCGCTCACCCTGTGGGCTGTGTGGGTCCTAATGTCCCAATATAGTGACGGGGACGCTATACTGTAAAAAGTTGCCATCCTTCGGATGAGATGTAAAACCGAGGTC